TTTGTACAACTCTAAGGTTCTTTCCAGCTCTAGATCCATAATGCTTTTATAGAGTGCTATGAAAGGACAGCGTGCTGTTGACTCCCAAACAGACTGTATTCCTATGGTGCTCAGGTTCCATAACTGTACCAATCCTGTCCTTTATAATATTGTGATTATGTGAATGACAGAGAAACTGAGTAAACTCCAATGAGCCTAAGCAGGCCCATTTCATTCCATGGCCTTATCTCTGAGCTGAACATTCCTTCTCCAGATCAAGTATCTTATGCTCATTTCTCTGGAAATAACAGGGTAGCTTAGAATTATGAAATTTTAGACATAGAAGGTATAACTGTATTTTAAATGTTACCAAGTGTACAAAACCTTGTGCTCAGTGATAAGGAGATGTAATAATGTTTAAATAAAGTGTGATCTCTGACCCCAAGGAGCTTACTGTTTAAGGTACGTTAGAAGTCACCTAGTCCAAACCTCTAATTTTACGGATGGCGCAGCTGAGGCTCAAAATGAGAAGTGACTTCCTCAAGGTCAGAAAACAAGCTAGTGGTGGAGCTGGAACCCACTCACTTTATAACGTTTCTTGATTCCCAGATCAAGGCTCTTTCTAAGTTTGCTTGAGATATTATAAAAATAAGTGACAATCCTTCAAGGTATAGCTCCTTATAAGAGTCTTCCTCATATAGAGCTTGGCCTAGTAAATTTCCCATAACTCAAGATTCCAATTGGCCTTAGCCCCAGTGTTCCTTTAGCTCATTCCTAACTGGGAATCTTGCTCCGTAGCCAAAGCCTCCTAGCCAAATTCATGTATTCAGTCAAACATATGATTCATACTAGCCCTTTATTTCCTCATATCCTCCCACCCTGTTTTCCAGTTGGAGGCATGAATAATTAGGTAAATCCTCTTCAGCAGCTCTGAGTTTGAATTCTAATTCTATTACTATCTGTGTGACTTTTGAACTCTAATCTCTTCACCTTACTGGATTTTGATTTCCTCAACTGCAAAATGAAAGTATTGACCCAGATAATCTTTAAGACTCTTCAGACTCTCTTCTAATTTCAGCTAAGCAGATAAAGAGCACAGTGGTATGCTTAATCACTCACTCAATCAACCAGTATTTATTAATTGCCTGCTCTATATCAAGCACTGGGCTAGGGGATAATTAAAAAAATGATACCCCTTACCCTCTTCAGATGTGTACTTAGGAAATTCTTAAATGACATCTCCCCCTTCTTCTTATTTCTGTTGTTGTTTGAAGTTTACAGTCTTCTTCACAAAAAAATTTATGTTAGCACCGTGGGAGGAGTTAGTAGTAGTAAAATCAATCAGCACCATGGCTAGGGAATTCATCTCTCCTAGGATGTGTAACACCAAGAAATCATGAAAATCTGTTGAGGCAAGAGCAGAGAAAAAGAAAAAGACCTTTTTGCTTTATGCAAATTCTGGAGTGAAAAGCTAAATTTCCAAAGGGACAAAGGTTATAGGAATGATATGTGGGTGTCCAAGCTCTTGGCCTGCTGCTTCTGATTGGGAATGGGAAAGCAGAAAATGGGGTTGTGGGCTGTGACATGAGATTTTTATAAGGAAGGTGACTTTGATGAGTAAGTCTAATTTTGTAGGAAAGGTATATACACACACATACACACACAACTACTTCATTACTTCTATAGGCAAAGAGCTGACTCATTTATAAAGGCAGCCCTTCATCAAAACTGTACAGACTTCTCACTTAGTAGTGTGAGCAAATATTGCCTAAAGTTATTTTAGATAGTGATAAGTTCAAAGTTTAAAAGCAGAGACTTTTCTGAAGTCCTTTCTTTATGTCATTTTCCCAAGTAAGAAAATGCTTTATTTCCTTCTGTGAACAAACATCTCCTTTTACTCTCCAAAGAGTCTTCTTTAAATTTCACAAGGTAAATTACAAACATTGTTTCATTAAATCATCACAACACAACCTTGCAAAGTGGATGCTATACTTACTACTCTCCCCCCCATATTACAGATAAGGCCACTGAGGCTTAGTGAGATCACCAAGGCCACATAGCTAGCAAGGTAAGAGTTGGACTCTAGCTCTCTTCTGATTGCAAATGTAGGACTCTTTCTACTGTACTACACTGTCAGAGTTACTCCCTGAAGAGCTCAAGTGCTATGATCCTTAAATATTATCTATTCCATTCCTCTCTTTTTATAGATGAGGCTCAGGGAGAAGAAGAGACTTTCCCAAAGTTATACAAGTAGTGAGTAGTTGGAGCCTCACTTTACAGACAGGTAGTCTGGTGCTCTTTAAGAAGTGTCGACAACTTCTGGTCTAACTCAGCAACAACTTGTAATAATTACCTAATAAACTCATACCATAATAAACTCTTCTTGTATCTGGGTTGGGAGTTAAATAATCCCAATTCATAGGTGTTATGCAGATCACAAGATTTAGAGACTTTATAGAACATTTTATTTTTTTTTTAATTTTAGGTGAGGCAGTTGGGGTTAAGTGACTTGCCCAGGGTCACACAGCTAGTAAGTGTCAAGTATCTGAGGTCAGATTTGAACTGGGGTCCTCCTGACTCCAAGGCCAGAGCTCTATCCACTGCGCCACCCAGCTGTCCCTGTAGAACATTTTAAAAACTTCATATTCCTAGCACTGAGCACAGTGCTAGTGGCACACAGTAGGCATTTGATAAATATTTATCATATTAAATTATATTACCTTGGCCATTCCCCTCATTTTACAAGCAAGGAAACTTTCTGAGTTGGTATTATTTTTTCCCCCAATTCTTTAGTCACCTTCAAGGGCTTGCTCTCTCTGAGCTATCTGTTTATTCACAATACATACATATATGGCAGAGACAAACTGATTTAGTAAAAAACATTGGACCTTGAGTTGGGAGCACTGAGTTTTAATCTTGGATTTGATATTTACTAGCTGGGTGATTGCAGGCAAGTCATTTCATCTTTCTCTCCCTCAGTTTACATTAGTAAAATGGGTACAATAATACCTGTACTGCCTACCTCACAGAGTTGTTTTGAGGAAAGCACTTTTAAGCCTTAATGCCTTTAGAAGTAGAAGTTATAGTTATCACTGTAATTATAGTAGCCCATAGTAGTCTTTGAGTTTGAGCAATGTTGAATATCATGGTAAGGGCTGCTAGGTGGCATGGTAGATTGCCTGGCTTGGAGCTAGGAAAACTCATTTTCCTGAGTTCAAATCTGGCCTCAGACACTTACTAGCTGTGTGACCCTGGACAAGTCACTTAACCTTATTTGCCTCAGTTTCCACCTCTGTAAAATGAGCTGGAGATGGAAATGGCAAACCACTCTAGTATCTCTGCCAAGAAAACCCCAAATGGGGTCATGAAGGGTTGGACATGACTGAAAACGACTGAACAACAGCAGGAATATCGTGGTGAAGTTCATAAAATCTCAAAGAATGGTATAAAATATTTTTCTGTGTCTCCTATATTGTTGCCCTCATGCCCTTCCAGCACTTCATTGGACTAGAAGTTTGCCATGGTTCCATATGCCACTTATGTATGACCTTGAGCAAATCACCTCCTTTCTCTGGGCCTTAATTCCCCTATCTTTCAAATGAAGAGTTTTCACTAAATGCTCTCCGGGGGCTTTTCAAGGTCAGGATCCAATGACTTATCATTTCAATGCTCTTTCTCTTCCCCCATGTTGTAATGAACCCAGTTCTTCCTGACTCCTATCTGCTACTCCCAATTCCCTTTATAAAAGTAAACAGTTTATTACATTATGATGGGTGGGAGGGAGGGCGGTTCTTGGTTTCCTTATTACATCAGGAAAATATTACTCATCCTTTTTAAAATCCTGTTTTTCGCTTAGCCAGTTGTTTTTACTGTCTCTGCTGAGGTGTGTTAAGGGTTTGGTGAAGTAAAAAGGGTGCTTTCTTAAGCATGGAAGCTCCTTTGGCAGTAATGCAAGGCCTGCAGGGGCATGCCAGGTAGTGGCAAAGAGTAGGACAGAGTTGGAAGGATACATCATATACTCAGCTATATTCTAAATATGATGTGAAGCTATACTCACATAGCATCAGATCTGAAAAGCATCTCAAAAACTAGAGCGTGGAATGTCAGGGCTGAGAGGGAGCTTAGTAACTGTGATGTTTAAAAAGGTTTGAAAGACATAGCTTCTGGGTAATTTAATCATTTTGTTAATAAGGCCAGCAGGTTATTAATAAAAGGATCATCCTCTCTTAGACCAAAGACAATCATGGTGGCAGATTCACAGTTTATATACCCTTCAAAATAGTAGGTGGTCCATCAAACAGCAATCAAATCTAATTGGTTAACTGATTGGAAGTGGGCTATATTAAAGTGAAGGGCTAAGTATCTCTTGGATAAGGAAAGTATCTCTATATCAGACCACACACAGCTTTAGGCTATCAGTTCAAAGAATGTATATCTCACTCAAGCCTGAGCTGACCACAATGGGGCTTCCCCACCATAGATTACATTCCTGGCCAGGTTGGGTGGGATCTGACCAAGATCAGGAATGTTAATGCAATTTCATTATCAGTAATGTCTTTAGGAAAACTGAATTTTTTAAAATGAGGAATTTAGAAAAAGAGGAGAGCCTCTGAATCTTCCCAAGATATTGGTTACTAATAATCATTTCTCACAAACCTTATACCACAGAATGACCAAACTGGAAGGAACTTTAGAATGTAGAATAAAGAATAAAGAATAAGGAGGCATCCTAGAAAATATATGTCTTTCGTTCAAGATTATCTCATTAAATCCCTTCATTTGGCGAAGGAGGAACCTGAGGTCCAAATAGGAGAATTGATTTGCCCAAGGTCCCACAGCAAGTCATCAGTGGAGGAAGGATATAAAAAGGCAGGCCTCCTTACCTGAGGCCCAGTTCTTCTTTCCCCAACATCCCAGGCTTTTTAACGATCCAGTGAAAATGCAAACACGACATTTAATTGTCAGGTTGCTTTTATGTATCTATTCCCTACATGGAGACTAACAGCACATTTCTCTCATAGGTCACGATTCTCGTCAGCCTGGCTCTGGCATTTCTTGCCTGCATTGTGTTTCTGGTGGTTTACAAGGCTTTCACCTACGACCACAGCTGCCCAGATGGATTTGTTTATAAGGTAAGGGATACCAGCCAAACTAGTTGCCTGAGCTAATTGGGGCATTTAATTGAGTGTCATGTTATAGGCTTGTCTCCATTTGTATCTAAACAAGGTAAATGGATTGGGCACAAGTGGGTCTGAGTCCTGGGTGAGAAGGCACCTATTGTTATCTTTGTGTTTCTCTCTCTTTCTCCCTCAGCATAAGCGTTGCATCCCCACCTCCCTGGACGCCTATTACTCAGCACAGGATTCCAGCTCCCGGGGCCGGTTCTACACTGTCATAAGCCACTACAGCGTGGCCAAGCAGACCAGCTCCAGGGCCATCGCACCCTGGCTCTCTGCAGCAGGACCTATAAGCCACGAATCAAAGGCTGTGAAGGCAGATGCCCATTAAAGATGCCCACCCGTGGGGGAAAGAGAAGGGGAAAGGGAGGGGGGAGGGGGGAGGGAACACAGGCCTGGCAAAAGTCGTGTTCCAGGTACCTGACAACACTGTCCTCCCAGGGTTCCACAGAGGGAGGAACAAGCCTAAACGAACACCCAGGAGAAGTTTGAATCGATATTTACTTTGGTCCTTGTTATTCTTGTTGATTTGTAACTGAGTCGAGCTCTTGTACAAAGGCATGTTTGGTGTTGATTGTTACAATGTAAAATATTTTTCAAAACATTGCTTACTATTTGTTAGGGAAAAAACAAAAAAAAAAAACACAAAATGAAATAAAAACAAGTCAATATCCCAGAGCCCTGGCCCAATCCCAGTGACACCAAGAGAAGGAAGGATCTCCTAAGGTCTTGTTAAGTAACAGTATGGCCATGGCCTGGGCAGGCTCAGGAGAATGGATACAAAACCAGTTTTCCAATGTGTGGGGGCCAGGAAAGGGTTAGGGAGGCAGGGGGGAATCTTTAATGCCGTGTGTGTGGTAGGGTGATCTGTAATCTTCTGTCTGGGCCTCAACTAGCCTGACCTTATTGCTTCACAGAAGCTACAGGTGGCAGGGGGAGGTAATTTGAAGAGGCAAGCTAAAGTTGATAGTGGAAGTAATTAGTGACGGGGAAGGCTTACCCATTTATCCAGTTGTGGGAAGACTTTGTGGCTTGTAGTATAAACTTATCTTTTCTCTGAATGAGATGAAGTTTTTGCCCACAAAATATTGCCTAGAAGGCTTTTGGTACAGATACTTACACCTGGCTTTGCCTGCAGTATTCATTCCACAGCAAGGCCAGATTTTGCACATAAGTATATTGGGGACTGGATACCATCATTAACCAGTTATTCTTCTATGCCTCCCATCTGCTAATTTGTTCTGGGCAGGCCATGGTGAAGCCCATGTGCCGTAAATAGGGCATTCATTGTAGGAAAGATGGGAATAGAGGCAGGTTAGCAAGATTGCAGTGTGGGGTAGGGCTTCTCAGTAATCTCTGACAGACTGTTGAGAAGGGTGTAGCAGAAGAGGCCTAGATCTGGTGAAGTTATCAATGCCATTATACTCAGCAACTATGTAGAGAAAATAGTATAGTGAAACTATAATGCCAAAAGCTATCAGCTGATTTTCTGTCCCCACCATGATTCACCTGTAAATTCATCTGTCACTAGAAATGGGAAGCAAACAAAAAATGACCCCCAGCAAACTGCTGAATAATTTATAAAATTTTGTGGCGTATTTTTGTCAGTAGGTAGCAAAGACTGAAGTATTTTTTGGTGTAATTCTTGAACTTTTCTGAGAAGAAAAAAAATAAAGATAGATGTGTCTGAGAGTCCTCACCTTTCTTGACTCCCTGTGTCTTTTGTGCATCCTAGCGCAAAGTGGAAGGAGCTGGGGGTGTGCATGACAACTAGAACAGAGGAATGCCAAGGTACTGAAAGTGTGCTGTTTAATGGGGACTGGAACAGGACCCTGTGAACCTGAATTGGAAAACAGATATTTCATATGCTGTTGATCTGGGTGGGGAGCGGCAACAGGAACTAAGTCTGTGGAGGGCTTGATAATGACTGACTAGCATTTATATAGCACCTACTATGTGTCAGACACTGTGCTAAGTGCCTTACAAATATTGTCTCATTTGATCTTCACAACAACCCTGGGAGTGCATGCTATCATTATCATCCTCATTTTATAGGTGAGAAAAGCAAACAGAGATTAAGTTACTTGCCCAAGGTCGTAGTTTCTTTTCCAAGACAGAATTTCAAGTTGAATAAGCTTGATGCTGAAACAGAGGTAAGGGGAATTTGCATTTGTATAATGATTAGTAATGAAAGATCAATATTTTAAAGGGTCTCTTATATAAGGTTGGTCCTTGGCAAAATTAAAAAATAGAATCTTTGCCTCTGTAGAGAAGAAAGGGACCTCAGAGAACATCAAATGAAACCTTACTCCCTAGGGCATGTTTCCACAACTCATGTGTAACTGTAGGATTTAGAGCCGGAGGAGATGTAAGAAACAACCTAGGCCAATCTCATTTGACAGATGAGGAAACTAAGGTTTGTGAGAGGCAAAATGACTAGCCTCAAATGATTTATAGTCGGTAAGTGGGAGAGCTGGACTTCAGATCTTGACTTCTGACTGCAAATCTAGGACTACATTTCAGTTCCTAAGTCTAGCCTTAAATACACATGGTAGAATAGAATATCTATACCGATTGTAAAATGGGGCTAATGATAAGGGTGAAGCCATTTACCTCAAAGAGATTTTCATTCATTCAACAAATACTTATTGAGCATCAAGTTTATGTTAGGTCTAGTGTCTGGTGCTGGATTTGGGGAGAATAATAAAAATATAAAATGAAAATATATATAAAATAATCATGGACTATTACTTATTAATGTGAAATTATTTTCAAGGCCTTGGCTAAATAAGAATTGGGAGTCCAAAGAAATTATATTTTTCTTCCTCTTTTTTTTTCTTTTCAACCATGGATGCATAGGACTGAGGTTTGTTTTGTACTCTTGTTTCTTGGGATGCCATGGCTCAAACATTTTTCTCCTAGTGGCTGACCTTCTGGCAATAAGCTTGGTCAAACTCAGTGAAGCTAGTCCTTAAAGAATAGATAATTCTGATGACAGCTTGGATATGAAAAGTGGGGCAAAAGACAATATCAAGGGCCTGATGACCACTTGCTTAGATTTGCTTTGCTACTAAGGCTGCAGTATATGAGATCAAGGTAAGTGGCACTATGCTGCTAAGTACAAATGTGGTATGCCCTCTATCCTGTGCCCACTTGCAGCCTAAGAGAAAACAACAATGTCTCAGCCTTCTGTAGCCAGTTACTAGGCCTTTCACAATTAGAACACTAGGACCTTGTCTGAAACTGGAGTCTCGAGGACCAGGCCCAAACAAGAACCAAGGTTTCATACGGATGGTATCTTCTGAGTGTGTATCACCCACCACCATCTTGGGATGAATGAGAGAAACTGGCATCAAGCAATTGATCTCCTTGTTGGTTCAACCCCTGTTTCCTAAGACCCTGAAGGGTGGGAGAACTAGTCAATTGGTACATACCCCATCATATAACTAGCTAACAAACTCTCATTTCCTCCTTCTCCCTTAATATTTGTGATTTGGAGTCATCATTTGCTGAGTTGAAAATCTTCTACTATCCCATCCCTCTTTCTCATTGCCATTCACTACAGTTTTTCCTTTCCTTTATGCCTCTCAGAACTGTTCTCAGTGGATGCCCTTCCCTTCATCATAGTCTTTTCTTTAATTCCTCCCTCTTTTAATCTTCTTGTGCTCACATTCGCCTGGATCACTCTGGAAAACACTGTGTCCTGGGGTTTCCTCCTGTCATAAGTCTATGGCCATAGGGAGGAAAAGGTGTGTACCATGTTTTTCACTGCCACTTACAGACCCTCCCTGCACTCCATTCATAGATACCATACCATATTTCTTTTCTTTCTTTTTTTCATTTTTCCAATGCATAGTGCTCTGAAGTTTTCTTTGCATGTTATATCATTATCTCATTTGAGCCTTACAACAATCCTGTTATATAGGTATTAGAGGTGCTTATTTTATCATTTTGTTGTTCAGTTGTTTTTTAGTTGTGCCCAACTCTGTGTGAGCCCATTTGAGATTTTCTTGGCAAAACTGGATTGATTTGCCATTTCTTCCTCCAGCTAATTTTACAGATGAGGAAACTGAGGCAAACAGTTAAATGACTAGGCCAGGGTCGCACAGCTAGTAAGTGTCTGAGGTCAGAATTGAATTCAGGAAGATGAGTCTTCCTGACTCCAGATCTGGTACTCTATCCACTGCTCCACCTGCAGATGAGGAAACAAAGTCTCAAAGATGAATTGTTTTGCCACAATCATAAAGCTAGGGTATCTTATCCAGTACCTTGTCCATTATACCATGCTGCCTCCTGATCACTGATGCAGTCATTTACCATTCTCAGGGTAATTCTTTAATTTTCAAGGAATTTAGTACTTGACCATGCCAAAACCCAACCCTGATTTAACCCTCTCCATCCTATTTGTATGTTATTGAATAACTCTGATGGAAGTCCTATAACTAGGTTCATTACAGATTTATGTCATCTAACTTCAAATGGGACCTCACTACTGTGTGGCAACCCTTTGACTTTTCCTGATTGTTATGTGATCAAGCAACCATAGTTGATGTTCCAAATCTTCTCATATTTCCTAAGCCTTTTATACTCCCCAAATTCTCTCAACAGAGGACCTTATCTCCTTTTGTAACTGACAAAATAAATCCCATCCATTATGAGTTTTCATGTTCTCTTCCATTATAGAGATGACTCCTCAAGTACTTCTTTATAATTCTTTATTTTCTTCTCCTTCGTTCCAGCCTCAGATGAAGATGTGGTCCTTGTTGTCAGTGGCAACCCCTCTGTGACCTTGATCGCATCTCCTCTAAGCTTACCTCTTCCATCATCACCCCTACCATCTTGAATCTCTATTTACTAGCCTGTTCCTTTTGGCCTACAACATACTTGGGTCTCCATGACCCTCAAAAAATAAACAAAATACTTTTATTGATCCTGTCATCCCCTCAAACTCACATCCTGTGTCACTTGTCCCTTTCATAACCAAATTCCTTGAAAAAGTTATTCCTCACTGCCACCATTTCCTTACCTCCTACTCTTCAACCACCTGCAATCTGATTTCTAACATTATTACTTAATGAAAACTGCCTTTTCTAAGGTTAGCGGTGCTCCCTTAAATGCTAAATCCAATAGCCTTTTCTACTTAAAATCTCTCAGCTTTTGACGCTGCTCTGAATGTTTTTTCAGGGATGATGCCCTTTTCTTCTACTCCTATGTCTCTGACCGCTTCTCAGGATCCTTGTTGGAGTATTACTCTCTCCAGCCCCATAATAAGCATGGGGGTCTACCACTGTTCTGGGTTCTTTCCTCTTCTTTCTCTATAGATTCTCTGTGGT